AAGATCTGATTAACGTGAATCTTATCATTAGTCTTCTCCACTAGATGTCACCCTTATTTACCTTGCGCGATGTTACAACAGAAATCCTGTCATTCATTCAGCGCTTATCATGGCCATACGCGTGATTCGCAATGCTCTGGTGAAATGCTATAGTAATACTATAAATCTGCGGAAGTATTTGATATCACGCATAAGGCGCCATGATTTCCTCAATGAATGAATGGCGGATGGTGCGGCGCACTTTTTTGTTTACTAAACACATACTAAAGCGCGGATGACGCTCGCGTGTGTTTTCAGCTTCTGCCGTCTCACTATATGATGATATGAACACGAATGTCATCTCCAGCTGCTCTGACAGTCACTTCATTAGCATTATACGGTTTCATTTGAGAAAACTACCATCATATCACGTACACAGCAGCTGCAAATTCCTCATGGCAACCCGTCAAAATAAAAGTTTAGTTTAACGTTCTACTGTCAGAATATATTACTATTTAGCAGTCTTAAGACTCAATGCTACTACTGCTAATAAATATTAATAAATCTTTATTTTTAAAGGAATAATCACATTTGTTTTCTTTTTAATTTTAACAGTAAACATCTGTTGTGCAGCACTTTGTTTGCCCAAAAATAAAAGGGTTTAATTTTCAATTGATTAGGATAAATTAAATTAATGTTTTATGCCTTCATCTGATTACCAGAAAAATTAAGAAGAACATTTTATAGGGCCCTATTATTTTTAAAAAAAGGACCCTATGCAAAAATAATAGGTTTAAAATACAGGCCTGTGGCTCTTAATTTCTTTTTAAAAGTGTTCCTGTGGCTCAGTGGTAGAGCATTGTATTAGCAGCGCAAAGGTCGTGGGTTCAATTCCCAGGGAACACACATACTGGTAAAAAAATTTATAGCCTGAATGCACTGTTAAGTCGCTTTGGATAAAAGCGTCTGCTAAATGCATAAATTTAATTTTAATTTAATTTAATAAATGCTTGGTGAGCACAAAAGCCTATTTACATGTATATACATTTATATTCTTATATTTTATATTATATATAAATATTTAATATATAAACATAACATATATATTTTTTTAATATATACATGCATGTGTTTGTATTTATATATACATAATAAATATACACAGTATACACACATGCGATTAATCGTTTGACAGCACTAATTAAAACTATATTCACTGAATGTAATAAAAAAAAATCAAGAATCGAACCAAGAATCGAATCGAGAGCTTGCGAATCGAAATCGAATCGGGACATCTGAATGGATACCCAGCCCTAGTAATAATGCTCACCTGTCTTACACTCCTGACACAGTTGTTCTCCATCTGTTCCACTGTTAGATCCAATACACTCTGGATGAAACAGCCTGTTACAGACTCCCTCACAGCTCACCAAAGAATCCCCGAATGTTTCACAGACCTAAGAGATTTACAGAAGAACCACAACAACAGATTGATACACAACAACAATACCTGAAAGAGTCAGCCAAAATTAGAACTACTGTTACAGGGTTTCTGCAGAATTTTTAAGCTCAAATTTAAGACTTTTTAAGACCTTTTTTTAAGACCTGCACAAATAAAATTAATACCATATGAGCAGGGTAGGGCAATGCAGTACCATATTAAACTGTAAAATTACTGTAAAAAGCATAATTTACAGTTCAGATACAAGTTTTCACAAAAACGTTTTATAAAATGATAAACTTCACATTTAAGCTTTTAAACCATTGTTAAGTAAATGGATGAGTCAAAAGTATTAATTATTATATTAATTTAAACAATTATTATCAATAAATTATTGTATCAATTAAATAACAAATTAGGGGTGTGCGATATTGACAAAAAATTATATCTAGATAATACTCTGGGATTTTATCGATAACGGTAATTTGACTATATTTTGCTATAGTGTGTATTACTGCGCTGATATCTTAAGGACTACTGTGGACAGCTGACTCCTGAATTTTTTTATATTCTTCATATTCTGTGTGGTCAGTTCACAGCAGTAATATAAATTAATAATTTCCAACAAGTTTTATGGGCATTTTTA